TGGCTGACTGCGGTTAGAGTCCTGGACCTGGTGGCTTGCTTTCTCACTTTTCCTCTCTCTCTCCTGCTGTCCTTCTCTGGTCAAATTAAAATAAATAAATAAATAAAGTTAAATAAAATAATTCTTTAAAAAATATTTTTGGGAACCAGCAGTTAACGTAATGGCATGTCGCTGGACTCCCACGTAGTCGACCGCAGTTCGCGTCCTGAACCCGGTGGCTTAAAACTCACGCCGGGCGCGTGTGCGTGCGTGCCCAAGATCCCGAGAGGAGAATGGAGGAGAAGGGATTGCGGCGTGACCACCCCCCCCGGGGGTTGATTTCTTGCTTTCTGTCTCTATGTCTCTGTCTGTCTGGCGAGCGCACGCGCCCTGTAGCGAAAAACCTCTCAAAAAAAATTTTTTTTTAAAATATATGCTAGTTTATTACTTTAGAAAATTACACAGATAATGTATAATCTGTTTGGAAATATTTCAAACAACAGAAATAGGGGAAAACATTCAGATCACACACAACACAGACATTACAGTGTGTAGTTTTACAGGCATTTTTCCCAGGTGTCATAAATTTTAGTTAATTGATTATGGTCGATTTGTTTTGTCCATGGTCTCAAGTTTTTGTTCAGGGAAAAAAATAAGTGGCCAACAATTGTAGGACCTTTTTTCTTTCTTTCTTGAGAAATTTTTGCCATAGGGCACATGCGCTCACCAGAGAGACAGAAAAAAAAGCGAGAAATCATCCCCAGGGGGATGGCCACGCTGCAATCCCTAGTCTTCTATTTTTTGGGGGTCTTGGGCACACATGCATACATGCCCAGTGTGAGTTTCAAGCCTCCAGATCTGGGAATTGAACTGTGATTGGTAATGTGAAAGTCTAGTGATCTAACCATCATGCCATCTGCTGGTCCTGGTTGACTCATTTTTTATTGTACTGCTTAGCAGGAAGCCAGCCTTAGTGTCCAACTCTCTAACCTTGGAATTGTGAGATCTCTGAGGACAAAGCAACAGATGCAGCCTCAAAATAAGTCTGTCTACATTGAACTGGGTAAGGATCTCAGGTTTTATGTTTGGAACAGAGGTTACTGTATTGTTTGTCTTAGAGTTTTAACAAAAACAGTGGTCATAATTTATACATGTGGCAGGAGACTTTAAGAAGTGAAAATAAAATAACTTTATGAGCCCTGTAGTGAGTTATAAATAATATAAAAGACATTTGAAAGAAGTTTCCATAGGGAGCAAAAGAAAGGCTATCTGGTTATAAGTATATGTATGTATATATATATATATATGTATATATTTATATCTTTTGTTGTTGTTGTCAGAGTTTTTTTTTTTTTCTTTTTTGCTATAGGGCGCTTTCTGCTCTCTCCAGAAAGACAGAGAGAGAGAGACAGAAAGTGAGAAATCACCCCCTAGGGGGAATGGCCATGCCATAATCCCTTCTCCATTCTCATCTCGGGATCTTGGGCACACACGCACACATGCTCGGTGTGAGTTTAAGCCACTGGGTCTGGGACTTGAACCACAGTTGATTAGATGGGAGTTCAGCAACATAGCCATTATGCTAACTGCTGGTCCCTATATATTTTGGAACATGGAAAGTAGCAGTAAGAAGATGGTGGATTGCTACAGCATTTAGAGGAACTCAAGATAAATTATACTAGATTAAGAAGGCTTTTTTTTTTGAGAGAGAGATTTTTGCTATAGGGCGCATGTGCTCAACAGAAAGACAGAAAGCGAGAGAAATTTTTTTAGTTTAGTTTCTGCTATAGGACATGTGCACTCACCTGAGAGAGAGAAAGAGAGAAAAAGTGAGAACTCACTCCCCAAAGGAGATGGTGAATCCACAATCTCTCCTTCTCTCGAGACTTTGGGCATGTGTGCACACACATCTGGTGTTTTTCAAGCCAATGTGTCCAGGACTTGAACCGGGAAGTCAGCCATGTGGAATCCAGGGCCTTAACTACCACACCTCTGCCTGCTTTTAAAAAAAACCTTGTTTAAACCAGTAACACAGTTGTTTATTATCATTACAAGTATTATGTATTATACATAACTGTGTACACTACACTCTTATTACAACTGACAGTGCAGGTTTGTTTCCATCAGCATCACTGCAGTCATGTGAGTAATGCAGCTTGCTACAAAGTCATGATGGGTTTGATGTCGCTAGAGATAGGAATTTTTTTTTCCTTTTTTAGGTTTTTGTCATAGGGTGCATGTGCTCGTCAAAGCGGAGAAAGAAAGCACTACAGAGAGGGAAAGTGAGAAACCACCCCTTTCTCCAAGAGGAATAGCCAACCCACAATCCCTTCTCCCTTTTCCTCTGGATTTTGGGCTCTTATATACATGGGTGTGGCATGATTTTCAAGCTGCTAGGTCTGGGACTCAAGCTGCGGTCAGCCAAGTGGGAGTTCAGCACCTTAACCACTATGTCACCTGTTTGCCTCAACGATAGGAGTTTTTTGTTTGTTTGTTTTAATTATTTATGTAATTTTATTTATTATCATTATTTTAATCTGCTACAGGTCACATACAGTCACCAGAAAGAGAGAAAGTAAGAAAGCTAGCCTTAGACCAGCAGTTGGCATAATGGTTATGTTGCTGGACTCCCATGTAGTCGACTGCAGTTTGAGTCCTGGACCCGGTAGCTTAAATCATGCCAGGCACATGTATGTGCGTGCCCAGGATCCTGAGAGGAGATGGAGAAGGGATTGCGGCGTGGCCATCCCCCTCCGAGGGGTGATTTTTCACTTTCTGTCTCTCTGTCTCTCTGCTGTCTTTCTGACAAGCGCACACGCCCTGTAGCAGAAACCTCTCTCAAAAAAAAAAAGCTAGCCTCCAGGTTTAAGACTTGAACTGTGATTCGCCATGTGGGAATCTAGTTCCTTAACCACCATGCCATTTGCTGGTCCCAACAGGAATTTTTTTAAATCTCCATGGTAATCTTTTTTCTTCTTCTTCTTCTTTTTTGTAGCTAGATAACCTGTTGAGATACTTTTTAAAAAAAAAAACAATAATGTCTTATTTATTAATACTTTTAATTGTATGTTTTTATGGCATACCATATGGGTTTTTGCTTGTTTTGGAGAGGTTTTTGCTATAGGGCACATGCGCTTGCCAGAAAGACAGAAAGAGACAGAGAGACAGAAAGTGAGAAATTCCCCCCCAGGGGAGATGGCCACACTGCAATCCCTTCTCCTCCATTCTCCTCTTGGGATCTTGGGCATGCATGCACACGTGCCCTGTGTGAATTTAAACCACTGGGTCCAAGACTCGAACTGCAGTCGACTTCATGGAAGTCCAGTGATGTAACCATTATGCCATCTGCTGGTCCCCACCATATGGTTTTTCAAAGCATGCATGTAGTGTGTGATACTCATATCAGGGAATATTACCAAATATATTGTTTTCAACAAAGAACCTTACATTCTTGTGTCTGTTAAATGCTTCTTCCCTGAGTCCTTCCCACCCACTTCCAGCAACCTTTGTAAAAAGATCTTTGTGGTATGGGACCAGCAGGTGGTGTGATGGTAAGGTGCTGAACACTCCCACATGGTTGACCACAGTTCAAGTCCCAGACCTGGCGATTTGGTTTCTCGTTCCCCCCCGCCCCCTCTGGTCAAATTAAAATGAATGAGTGAATAAATTAAAAATTAAATAAAAAATAATTCTTAAATAATTTTTTAAAAAAGAGAAAACCCTCGTGGTTAAGGCAGCTGGGTCTCTCATGTCTGATCCTGTGGCTTGGACTCAGGGCTTGAGAAATATCCTAAGTACGTGTGCATGCTCAAAATTTTGACAGGATAGAGAAATGGGATGAAGGCATTGTGGTGTAACCACATTCAATTGAGAGGTGCTTTCTCCCTTTTCCTGTCTCTGTAGCCAATGCATGCAACCTCTGGCAAAATTTAAAGAAATAAAAGAACTGAGTGCAGAGTTCAAACAGGGCTCTCTAATTGTCTTTTCTTTTAAAACACATTTATAATTAGAAAGTGTGGCTCTCTTTTGTGTTCCTAAGCACCCCCATATGTTCATCATAAGCTTTTTGAATTTTATTGAAATGTTTGTCTTTTCCCCCTTAAAATAGTAAATTCCTGAACAACAGGTATTATGTCATAAAACTAACCAAAACAATTATAGTAGTAATTATTTCAGAGTGCTTCTCTATATTCTAGGCACTGTTGAGCATTTCTTGTATTTAAAAAGCATGTCAAACCTCTGAAGTTGTTACTGTGATACTCATTATTCCAGGGGGGAATGAAGGCACAGAGAGGGTCAGATTTCCCAAGATAGTAAAGCTAGTGAGTGACAGGAGGTTGGGCTTCAGAGCTTGTGCTTTGGACTACTTCTCTGGTTGTCTTGGTTGTGTAACATATGTGATTGTGCCCGTCATGTAGTAGGTGTTCAGTAAATATTTCTAGATAAATACATGAGTATTTTTTTGCACCAAATACATGTTTTGGGTTAATCTTTTCAATGGAAAACCTTTTTACTGATTTGTTTTTGGGGATTTGGGGGGGAACTTTTTTAGGATCTGATTCTTCTGAAGATACAGTTAATAAGACAAGTTATTGCAGGTGAGTTAAAGGGAGCCTTTGTCTATAAAGCTGATATTTTTATGTTTAATTAATATAGAATCATGTCACTGGAAGAAGCCTTAGATCACATCTAGTTAATCCCTGAATTTATAGCTGAGGAAATACCTTTTTGTTTTGTTTGTAATGCCCAGAGGAGTTTAGGATAACGGCAAAACTGTGTACATTTCTAGCTGTGTTCCTCATATATGGCAGTACTGTACAGTGGTGACTGTGGCTGATGAAAATATAAAAGACTCCATTTTCAACCTTCTCTTTGCTCTGTTCTTAATTTCACTTATCTCTCACACTTTATGTAAATTATACAATAATCTATAAGCAGCCCCCAAGTGGCTTAATTGTCAAGTTGCTTTCCTTGGGAATTACTGCTTGGCCCTAACATCTTTGTTACCTGTACTATACTACGATGGTATTATTGTCAATCAGTTTTTATGAGACTCTTTCCTAATCTCACTTTGGTCTTAAAAGAAGCATAGAAAGCAATGTAGCAATGTGACTGTTTTTGCATTTTATCTGCTCTATCCTAGTGTTCCTTTTTTTAGATATATGTGCTCCTGCCTTCTCATTAAGATATACTTTTAACCATTTTTTCAAAACTGTGTTTGTGCTGTCATTTAAATTTTGGCTCTCATTTATATATCCAGAAGCAATATTCTACTCCTCTGATTTTTATGTCTATGTCTCCTCAGTCTTTGACCATTCCATTTAAACTAGAAGTTACTAAAGGAGAGATTTCAAAAAGTCAACCACATTTGTCAGCTACTGTAGCCCTACCTGGAGGAACTAATGTGTTTCTTTTTGCTCATTAGACAGCTCTGTGTGCTTATAACTAGTGTTTCTCATTAGGGTCCCTGTCTTTTCCCTACCGTGCAAAAGTTTTTTTTTCCCTACAGTGCAAAAGACCAAGAATTGTTACAAATCACTCCTCAAGGAGCCAGAATTGAAGCCAGCTTGGATTCTGCAAAAAACGGTAATGACACATCTTCCTAACTTAACAGGCACTGATGAGAGGGTCGATAGATACAGTATTGTAATTAGATTATTCTGAGACCATTTGGAACATTTATAATTCATAACATCTCTTGGCTGAGTTAGAATATTGTTCTTTTTCAGATGTCATGGTACAGCCTGATACATTTCAATGGTACCAGGCTAATGTGATTATAATAGTACCCCACATAACTAGTTGTTGCTCTACTTTTTCTTTTTTCTTTTTTTTTTTTTAAGATTGTTTTAGTTTTTATTTTGCCAGAGGCTCACCAGAGAGTAAGAAAGGAGAAAGTACCCTCCATGGGAATGGTCACGCCACAATTCCTTCTCTTCCATTTCTCTTCTCTTTCTAGATATTGGCGATGGATACACACACCCTCAACTTGTTTTTTTGTTTGTTTGTTTTAAATAATTATTTACTGGGACTAGCATATGATGTAATGGTTACATTGCTTGACTCCCATGTAGTTGACCATGGTTTGAGTCCTATACCTGGCAGCTTAAAACTCACTCTAGGCACTTGTGTGTGCCAAAATCCCAAGAGGGGAGTGGAAGAGAAGGGATTATGGTGTAGCCATTTGCTCTGGGGGTGATTTCTTGCTTTCTGTCTCTTTCTCTGGTGAGTGCACGTACCCTATAGTAAAAATATCTCTAAAAAACTTTTTGTGGGGAGAGGTTTTTGCTATAGGGCGCGTGCGCTCGCCAGACAGACAGAGAGAGACAGAGAGACAGAAAGCGAGAAATCACCCCCTAGGGGGATAGCCACATTGCAATCCCTTCTCTTTTCTCCTCTCGGGATCTTGGGCACACACGCACATGTACCCAGAATGAGTTTAAGCCATCAGGTTTAGGACTTGAACTGCGGTCAACTACATGGGAGTCCAGCGACATAGCCATTACGCCAACTGCTGGTCCAGTTTTTATTTTTTTAATGAATTATTTTATTTAACTTTATTTATTTATTTTAATTTGCCCAGAGAGGAACAGAGAGAAAGAGAGAGAGAGAGAAAGTGAGAAAGAAAGACACCAGGTCCAGGACTTGAACTACGGTCAGCTGTGTGGGAGTCCAGGACCCTTAACCACCACCCCACCTAACTGTCCCACTGTCTACTAGTTCTTAAGGATATGAACATAAATGTACATATGAATATGAATCTGGGGAACCAGCAGTTAGCGTAATGGCTATGTCACTGGACTCCCAGTTGACCACGGTTCGCGTCCCGGACCCAGTGGCTTAAAACTCACGCAGGGCGTGTGTGCGTGCGTACCCAAGATCCCGAGAGGAGAATGGAGGAGAAGGGATTGCGGCGTTACCATCCCCCCTGGGGGGTGATTTCTCGCTTTCTGTCTCTATATCTCTCTCTGTCTGTCTGGTGAGCGCACGCGTCCTATAGCGAAAACCTCTCCAAAAAAAAAAATATATATATATATATATGAATATGAATCTAGCTAGAACAGAGTACTGTACATCTTATGGCCTATAAATAGTTGGCTTTTGGGACTAGCAGATGGTGTGATGATTATATTATTGGACTCTCACATAGTAGACTACAGTTTGAGTCCTGAACCCAGCAGTTTAAAACTCATGCTGGGCATGTGTGTGTGTATGCCCAAAATCCTGAGAGGAAAATGGAGAAGGGATTGTGGTATGGCTGGCCCCCACCGGGGGGGGTTTCTCGCTTTCTGTCTCTCTGGCAAGCATATGTATCCTATAACAAAAATCTCCCTTTAAAAAAAAATTGGGGGAACCAGCTATGTCACTGGACTCCCATGTAGTCGACTGTGGTTCGAGTCCTGGACCCGGTAGCTTAAACTCACACCAGGTGTGTGTGCATGCGTGCCCAAGATCCCAAGAGGAGAATGGAGGAGAGGGGGTTGTGGCGTGTCCATCACCCCTGGAGGGGGGGTGTGATTTCTCTCTTTCTGTCTCTCTGTCTTTCCAGCAAGCACACAAGCCCTACAGCAAAAACCTCTGGTGGTTAAGGTGCTGGACACACCCACATAGCCAACCATGGTTTGAGTCTCAGACCTAGCCGTTTGCTTTCTCACTCTTTCTCTCTCTCTAGTCAAATTAAAATAAATGAATGAATAAATAAAATTTTAAAAATAATTATATTTTTAAAATTTGGCTTTTAATTAACTCTTTGAGGCTAAGAAAAATAGGTGTGATTTATGCATAGAGAAAATTTTCAAATTAAAATTCTGACTGTTCTAAATGGAACTAAAGAGAATCTTTTTTTAAAATTATTTAATTTTATTTATTCATTCATTTATTTTAATTTGACCAGAGAGAGATACACAGAGAGAGAGAGAGGGAAAGTGAGAAAGCAAGCCACCAGGTCTGGTACTCGAACTGCAGTCGGCCATGTAGGAATGTCCAGCATCCTAACCACCACACCACCTGCTGGTCCCCTAAAGAGAATCTAATAAGAATTAAATGAAAAAGGGTAAACTGCATCTTCAGTATACGTGGTAGTTTATAGGTTTGGTGTCTCTAAAAATAGCCAGTTGCTTCATTTCTACCCCCAATTTATATTAAGTATATACTTTTACATGATAATTCACTTTTTTAAGTACCTTGTTATTTTTGTATATTTTCAGCTGCTTGTGAGTTTTCTAAGAAGGACATAACAGATACTGAACATCATCAATCCAGTAATAAAGATCTGAACACCACTGAGAAGCATGCAACTGAGAGGCATACAGAAAAGTATCAGGGTATTTCTGTTTCAAACTTGCATGTGGAGCCATGTGGCATAAATACTCATGCCAGCTCATTACAGCATGAGAACAGCAGTTTATTACTCACTAAGGACAGAATGAATGTAGAAAAGGCTGAATTGTGTAATAAAAGCCAACAACCTGACTTAGCAAGGAGCCAGCAGAGCAGATGGACTGAAAATAAGGAAACATGTAATGATAGGCAGATTCCCAGCACAGAAAAAAAGGTAGATCTAAATGCTGATCCCCTGTGTGGAAAGAAAAAACAAGCTAAGCAGAAACCTGTATGTTCTAACAGTCCTAGAGATGACCAAGATTCTCCTTGGATAACTCTAAATAGTAGCATTCAGAAAGTTAATGAGTGGTTTTCCAGAAGTGATGAAATGTTAACTTCTAACGACTCACATGATGGTGAGTCTGAAATAGCTGGTGCATTCGAAGTTCCAAATAAAGTAGATGAATATTCTGGTTCTTCAGAAAAAATAGACTTAATGGCCAACGATCCTCATGATGCTTTAGTAAGTAAAAGTGAAGGAATCTACTCCAAACCAGTAGAGGGTAATATTGAAGATAAAATTTTTGGGAAAACCTATCGGAGGAAAGCAAGTCTTCCTAACTTGAGCCGTGTAACTGATGATCTAATTAGAGGGGCATTTGTTACAGAGCCTGAGATAACTCGAGAGCGTCCCTTCACAAATAAATTAAAGCGTAAAAGGAGAACTATATCAGGCCTTCATCCTGAAGATTTTATCAAGAAAACAGATTTGCCAGTTGTTCAAAAGACTCCTGAAAAGATAAATCAGAGAACTGACCAAATAGAGCGTAATGGTCAGGTGGTGAGTATTGCTGATAGTGGTAATGAGAATGAAACAAAAAGTGATTATATCCCGAAAGAGAAAAATGCTAACCCAATGGAATCATTAGAAAAAGAATCTGCTCTCAGAACTAAAGCTGAGCCCATAAGCAGCAGTGTAAGCAATGTGGAACTAGAAATAAATAACCACAGTTCAGAAGCACCTAAGAAGAATAGGCTGAGGAGGAAGTTCTCTGCTAGGCATATTCGCACACTTGAACTAATAGGCAATAAAAGTCCAAGCCCACCTAATCGTACTGAACTACAAATTGACAGTTATTCTAGCAGTGAAGAGAGAACGAAAAAGGGTGAGCAAATGCCAGTTGGACACAGCAGAAAGTTTCAACTTGGGGAAGAGAAAGAACCTACAACTGGAGCCAAGAAAAATAACCAGCCAAATACAGAAATAAGTGAAAGACGTGCCAGTGGTGTTATCCCAGATCTGAAGTTAACAAACATACCTGGTTTTTTTACAAACTCTTTGAGTTCTAATAAACTTCCAGAATTTGTCCATCGTAGCCTTCAAAGAGAAAAAGTAGAAGAGAACCAAGAAACAATTCAAGCATCCAGTAGTACCAAAGATCTGGTATTAAGGGGAGAAAGGGGTTTGCAAGATGTAAGGTCTGCAGAGAGTACCAGTATTTCTTTGGTACCTGATACTGACGATGGCACCCAAGATAGCATCTCATTACTAGATACTAACCCCTTAGCTAGGAAGGCAAAAACAGCACCAAATCAATGTGTGAATCAGAGTGAGACAACTGAAAACCCCAAGGAACTTATACACAGTTGTTCCAAAATTACTAGGAATGAAGGCTTCAAGGATCCATTGAAACGTGAAGTTAATCTTATTCAGGAGATGAGTGTAGAAATGGAGGAGAGTGAACTTGATACTCAGTATTTACAGAATACATTCAAGAGTTCAAAGCGTCAGTCATTTGCTCTGTCTTCAAATCCAGGAAATCCAGAAAAGGAACATGTCTGTGTTAAAGAAGAAAGTCTGAAAGAGTCTAACATCAAACATATACAGGCAGTTAGTACCACGGTTTTTCAGAAAGATAAGCTAGGTGATTTTGCTAAATCTGGCATTAAAGAAGTCCCTAGACTTTGTCCATCATCTCAGTTCAGAGGCAATGAAACTGATCTCATTACTGCAAATAAACCTGAAGTTTCACAAAACCCGTATCATATGCCATTACTTTATCCTGTCAAGTCACCTATTATAACTAAAAGTAAGAAAAACCTGTCAGAGGAAGGGTTTGAGGAACATGCAATGTTACTTGAAAGAGCAATGGAAAATGAGAACATCATTCAAAGTACAGTGAGCACAATTAGCCAAGATAACATTAGAGAAGGTGCTTTTAAAGAAGCCAGCTCAAGCAGTATTAATGAAATAGGTCCTAGTACTAATGAAGGAAGCTCTAGTATTAATGAGGTGGGTTCCAGTGGTGAAAACGTTCAAGCAGAACTAGGTAAAAAGAGAGGATCTAAATTAAATGCTGTGCTTAGATTAGGTCTTATGCAACCCGAAGTCTATAAGCAAAGTCTTCCTTTAAGTAATCGTAATGATCCTGAAACAAAAAGACAAGAAAAAAATGAAGGAGGAGTTCAGGCTATTAAAGATTTACCTCCATGTCTAATTTCAGCTAATCTAGAGCAACCTATGGAAAGTAGCCATGCTTCTCAGATTTGTTCTGAGACACCTGATGATCTGTTAGATGATGATGAAGGAAAAGAAAATAGCTTTGCTGAGGTTGATGTTAAGGAAAGATCTGCTGTTTTTGGCAAAACTGTCCAGAGAAGAGAGTTAAGAAGGAGCTCTAGCCCTTTAACCCGTGCATGTTTGGCTGAGGGTCAGCAAACAGGAGCTCAGAAATTAGATTCATCAGAGAACCTATCTAGTGAGGATGAAGAACTTCCCTGCTTCCAACACTTATTATTTGGTAAAGTAAATGGCACACCTCAGTCTACCAGACATAGCACTGTTGCTGCAGAGTGTTTATCTAAGAAAACAGAGGAGGACCTAGTAGCATTGAAAAATAGCTTAAATGACTGCAATGACCAGGAAATACTGACAAAGACATCCCAGGAACATTACCTTAGTGAGGAAGCAAAGTATTCTGTTAGTTTATTTTCCTCACAGTACAGTGTATTAGAAGACGTGACGACAAATAAGAATACACAGGATCCCTTCTTGATGCTTTATCCTCCTTCCAAACAAATGAGGCCGTGCTCTGAAAACCAGGAAGTTGTTCTGAGTGACAAGGAATTGATTTCAGATGATGAAGAAAGGGAACCTGGCCTGGAAGATGATTACCAAGAAGAGCAGAGTTTGGATTCAAACTTAGGTATTAGACCCAGGCTTTTGTTTGCCTGTTTATTAAAGTGAGCTAAATTTAAATGTATACCTTTGGGAGAGTGCATTTATGACTTTCTAAATACAGTAAAACTGCTTCTTAAGTTAGAAACTTGTTCCTCCTAAGGTGCTTTTCCTTAAAAAATCAGAAGTTCTTCAGACTTAACTAGAACACCTCTGATTGAATGAGATTTAGTGTCCTAATTAGTGAACTTGTTTCTAGTTTTCTTTTTTTTTTTTTTTTGCAATAGGGCGCGTGCGAGAAATCACCCCCCAGGGGGGATGGCCACTCCGCCACAATCCCTTCTCCATTCTCTCGGGATTTTGGGCATGCACGCACACGCGCCCGGTGTGAGTTTTAAGCCAACAGGTCCAAGACACGAACCGTGGTCGACTACATGGGAGTCCAGCGACATAGCCATTATGCTAACTGCTGGTCCCGTTTCTAGTTTTCATTGTTAGGATTTCTAAGAAGAAATCCTGGTGTCCCAAAGCAAGAAATTTAATCAATTCATGTGACATGAAGGTAAAACCAGTCCTGCCAACAAAAAGAAACAGATGTAGCAAGTCGCAGTATTAACAGTCTCTTCTTACATCTGAACTTCTGTTTTTATTATTTAAGGTGAAGCAGCATCTGAGTATGAAAGTGAAACAAATCTCTCTGAAGACTGCTCAGGACTATCCTCTCAGAGTGATATTTTAACCACTCAGGTAAAAAGCATGTGTGGATATTTATGTGTGGTATCCTATGCATTCAGTAGAATATATCTGACATCTTATGTTTGGCGGCATCTTTTTTTTTTTTTTAAACATTTATTTGTTTATTTGTTATGGTTTTCAGGATGCTGGATGATCCAGGACTTAAAACTCAGTCAGCCATGGGGTAATTCATTTCCCCAACCCCCATGCCACCTGATATCCCCCAACAACATTTAAGAATTAATGGCACCAGCAGGTGGCATGATGGTTAAGGTACTGGACTCCCACATGGACAACCACAGTTCAAGTCCTGGACCTGGTGGCTTGCTTTCTCTCTCTCTATCTCTATCTCTCTCTGACAAGCATGCATGCCCTGTAGCAAACTTTAAAAATAATTATAATAACGATAAATAAATATTTTTTTAAAAAAGAATTACTATCAACTCCCTCAGAGAACCTAAGTCTATTTATTTTCCTTATCAGAGGGTATGTGTGCTCCTCAGAAAGAAAGACAGTACCATCCATTGAGAAAGTAGCCATACAGTGATCCTTTTGCCTCCATTTTTATATCTCATCAAGATTTGGGACATATCGGGGACCAGCAGTTAGCGTAATGGCTATGTTGCTGGACTCCTATGTAGTCAACCGCGGTTCGAGTCCGGGACTTGGTGGCTTAAACTCATGCCGGGCGCATGTGCGTGCATGCCCAAGATCCCGAGAGGAGAATGGAGGAGAAGGGATTGCGGCGGCGTGGCCATCCCCCCTGGGGGGTGATTTCTCGCTTTCTATCTGTCTGTCTTTCTCTGTCTGGTGAGCACACACGCCCTATAGCAAAAACCTCTCCCCAAAAAGAGATTTAGGACATGTTCATATGCGTGCCCAGTGTGTTTCCCAAGCTTCTGGGACTGGGATTCAAACTGTAGTCAGCCACATGGGACTTGACTCCCTGTGTACAAGGCTATAAGCCAGTCCTCTCTCTCCCTTAATTTTTATTTTGTAGAAGTGTCCCCAAAATTTTCCCCAATTTTTTTTTGGAGAGGTTTTTGCTATAATGCGTGTGCACTTGCCAGAAAGACAGAGAGAGACAGAGAGACAGAAAGCAAGACATCCCCCCTGGGGGTGATGGCTACGCCGCAATTCCTTCTCCTCCATTCTCTTTTCGGGATCTTGGGCACGCACACACATACACTTGGCGTGAATTTGAACCACGGTCAACTTCATGGGAGTTCAGTGATATAGCCATTATGCCAACTGCTGGTCCTCAAATTCTTAATATTCAAAAATTGAGACTGAGGACCAGCATGTGGTGTGGTAGTTGAAGACTGGACTTCCACTGGCCAACCACGGAGTCCCATACCTAGTGACTTTCTTTTGCACTTTCTATTTCTCTCTTTATATATTTGTCTCCCACTAGATTGACAACTTCTTATAGTTCCATCTTTGTAAAATCCAGGGTTGTACAACAGTTTGTATAGTGTTTAAGGCACTGGACTCCCACATGGCTGATTGCAGTTCAAGTCCTGGACCTGGCAGCTTGATACCCATGCAGGGAGTGTGTATGTGTGTGTATGCCCAAAATCCTGGGAGGAGAATGGTGGAGGACGACCATCCCTCCTAGGGGGTGATTTTTTGCTTTCTCTGTCTGTCTGTCTGTCTGTGTGTGTGTGTGTCTTCTGTGTCTCTCTCTGTGCACACACACTACAGCAAAAAAATCTTTAAAGAAAAAAAAATAATGAGGAACTGGCATGGTGTTTCAGAGCGCTGGGCTCCCACATGGCCTGGACCTGATGGCTTGCATTCTCACTTTCTCTTTTACTTTGTCCCTCTCTGGTCAAGTTTTGCAAAATAATAAGTAAATAAATAGATAAAGTTAAATAAAACAATTCTTTTTAAAAAAAGAAAGATTAAACCAGTGCCAGCCAGTAGCACGATAGTTAGGGCAGCTAGCTCCCATATGAATGTCAGTGTAGTTTGAGTCCCAACGCAGTTGGTTTAAGAGACACACCGGGCATGTGTGTGTGTGTGAGTGAGTGTGTGTGTGTGTGTGTGTGCCCAAAATCCTGAAAGAAGAATTGGAAAAGGGACTAAGGTGTGGCCATCCCCCATCAGGGGTCCTTTCTCATGTTCCGTGAATCTCTCTCTCTCTCTTTGTCTCTCTCAGTGAACACCTATGCCCTCTAACAAGTGGAGGGGGGATGAAAGATCAGTCTAGTCTGTGTTCTTTCAGTCCCTGTGGTAGTTGATAGTTATTTTCCTGTACTTTTGTCAGTACTAGGTGGTATCCAGCTTTCAGATCTTCTGCATCTTGCCATTGTATGAGGACTGCCGATAGAGAGGGCTTGCTTTCCACCATGCATTCTCTGTGCAGAGCTAATCTCTCTAGGCTCATTACCCATTGGGTACCTGAGTTGTTACCGTTATCCTCCATTCTGCAAAATTGATGAAAAGACCTAGAGGCCTTTTCTTTGTTTACAATTCCTGTAATTTTTTCTGGATGTAGATTTGGATCTCTGTCAATGTGACTGTCACCTAATTCTGTCCCTTGTGTGTTAAAGTTTTAGCTTCCAGTTTTTGGTTCCATCTACCTTAGCTATACTGTATTTTCTTTGACATTCAATGAGCCACTTCCATGTTGTTTGAATCCCTTACGTTATTCTATTTTTTTAAAGATTTAGTTATTTATTTAATTCCATTTGTTATTAGTTTTCAGTTTGAGCAGACAGAAACAGAGAGAACGGGAAAGCGAGAAAGGAAGTTGCCAGGTCGGGACTCGAACCATGGTCAACCATGTGGGAATCCAGCGCTCTTAACCACCATACCACCTACTGGCCCCATTTTACAAAGTGTTTTTATCAAGCATCCTTCCCAAACAGCTGAAGTCTGGTTTTAGGTTACCTTTACCTAGAGTACTACAGACAGGAAAATTTATTAAAGGGAGATCTTTCCCCTCTGTTTATGTAGAACTGAAGGAAAATATGAGTTAGTATCTTTTTTACTTAAGACTGAGTATGTTCATTTACTAAAATAACTGCTTTAAATATTTGTTGCACATTACTATCTGCTAATATTAAAGAGACTAATGACTAAGGGAAGATTCCTGTCATCAAGGAGATCTTGAATTCCACTTGGGTATATTAGTGCAGTAGCAGTGGTCAGAAGATCATCATCTTAATAGGAGACAGATAATTGGGGGGGACTTCTGAAGGAGGCATTTGAGCTGGGCCTTGAAAGATGAGAATTTTTCTGGGTGGAGAGGCAGCAACTGAGGCAAAGACAGAGGCATAGAATACCCAGGAGGGCCAGCAAGTGCCTTGGTGGTTAAAGCAGCTGGATCCCACATAGCCGATTGTACAGTTCAAGTCCTGGACTCACCAGCTTGAAAAACATGCCAGGTGCATGTGCATGTATGCCCCAAATCCCAAGAGAAATACATGCACTCTATAGCAAAAAACTTTAAAAAAAAAAAAAAAAAAAAAAAGAATTCCCAGGAAACAGTTGTCCTGTGTCACAAGGAAATGACATATGAGGAGTATTGGGGAGAAATAAGAGATAAGATCAGGGGGTGAAGCTTTTTGAGTGCTATACTAGGAATTTGGAGTTTATCCTGAGGGCAGTAATGACTAACGATTATATAGGGTTCAGAAAGTATTAACTTATCTGAGCAGTGGTATACCACTAAGGTCCTTATGGAAGACAGACATGGTAAGCATGGCTTTTAGGAAACTTCTGCAATAATGTAGCTGTACTAAAAGAGCATAATGAGAATTGAACAGAATAGTAAAGTTAATTAAAGAAACACTTTAGAATTAGAATCAAGAAAGGGCCGGCGGTGGCTTGGTGGTTAAGGGCTCTGGACTTCCACATGACCTACCGTGGTTCGAGTTCCAGACCTATTGGCTTGCTTTCTCACTTTCCGTTTTTCTTTCTCTCTCTCTGATCAAACTGGAAAATAATAATAATAAATGAAGTTGTGTTTTTTGTTTTTTTTTTTGTGTGTGTGGAGAGGTTTTTGCTATAGGGTGCGTGCGCTCGCTAGAAAGAGAGACAGAAAGAAAGCAAGAAATCCCCCCCCCGGGGGGGGGGGTGGCCACAATCCCTTCTCCTCCATTCTCCTCTCGGGATCTTGGGCACGCACACACACGTGCCCAGCGTGAGTTTAAGCCACCAGTTCCGGGACTCAAACTGCAGTCGACTACATGGGAGTCCAATGACATAGCTATTATGCCAACTGCTGGTTCCAAGTTAAAATAATTATTTAAAAAAAAAAATTTTTGAATCAAGAAGACTTAGTAACCTATTTGGTTTTCTTCTTCCTTATCTATTTGGCCAGTTGCCTGTAGGGGAGTTTAAGTTATAAAATAATTCCTTTGGGAAAACCCAAAGGCAAGTTACCTAATTCTCTCATTACTGTTTTTTTCTGACTATTTAATGGCTACATAGGAGGTGGATATGCTGGCTGTGGCAATAGTGACTAACACAGTTTAAAGCATTGGTCAGATATCTGTGTGGTTTTATTCTGGGTTTATTGAGGCAGGATCTTTGCTAGGGTCTGATCAGTGATGTAACTACTCATAAGCACCACGTGGTGGCAATGGCGCTTCTACAGACATTGGCAGCAAAGCCATCTCAGGATAGCAGTGGAAACCTTTATGAAACTGGGAATGCATTTTCTGGTCATAAAAACCTCCTAAAAAACTATGAACTCAGTGTAGCAGGAGAAATAAGATGGCTTATTTTTAACAAAGGGCAAAGTCATTTTCAAAGATCAGAAGAAGAAGAAATTGAAGGTGAAATGATCTGTGTCCCATCTACTCTGTCCCCATTCCATGTCCCTACCCCCTGTAATCAGGCTTGCTGGCAACCATATATATATATATATTTTTTTTCTTTATTATAATTACCAGAGGGCACGTGCGCTCACTAAAGAGAGACAGGGAAAATAGCACCCCCCAGTGGAGCATGGTCACACTGCAATCTCTTCTGCATTATCTATGTTGGGGTTTTTGGATCCACACACACATGTTCCTGGCATGTTTTTGTAGCTGCTGGAACAAGGACTCAAACCACAGTCCGCCATGTGGGATCCAGCTCCCTTTAACCACTAGGCTGTGGGGCTGGCTCATTGATGTTTCTTGAAAAAGTGATGACAAAATGTGTATTTTAGAATATTCATTAAATATCTAAATGCTTTGTTCATCAAATACCCTAGACGTGGTATAAACAATAGGAGCCCCATGAGCAAGAAGAACCCGTTATCTAATTATTTTTTTAAGATTTCTTTTTTTTTTAAATTTATTTATTTTATTTATTTTTCATTTGACCAGAGAAGGACAGAGAGAGAGAGAGAGAGAAAGAACAAGAGAGAGAAAGTGAGAAAGCAAGCCACCAGGTCCAGGACTCAAACCACGGTCAGCCATGTGGGAATTTAGTGCCCTTATTAACATTTATTTATTTCTTTTATTTGTTTGTTTATTTTTAATTTCGACCAGAGAGAAAGCAAGCCACCACTTGCCATGCGGGAGTCCAGCACCCTTAACCACCATGCCACCTACTGGCCCCGAGAGTGATATTTTTGACCAGGTTTTACCACGTCAAGATTCTCCTACTCCAACTTTCTGGTTAGTTAGGGCCGTAGGCACGCTCCTCCCATTTTCACCACTATTGGATCTAAGAACTCACTGTGTTGAACTGAAAACAATAACTGTCCTTGCAGGTTTTCTCAGGGCTCCCACTGTTGAGGCCTTCACTCTACCAGGTCCTTCTCTCTAATGATCTCTAGGTATCCTGTCCCTTAATGGGCAGCATTATAAGGGTTATATCCCCAGCATGAGAACAGTGCCTTGCACGTAATAAATAGATGGTCAATAAATAATTGTCAAATGAACCAAGTAAATAAATTCATGAATTAGCCTTTTGTTCTTTCTGTTAGAAGCTGATGGGTCAAAGAATCCCAGCAGGGCTCACCCTGTAGTTTAGTGATTAAGAGAGCTGGATTCCACATGACTGACCATGGTTCAAATCTGGCCCCAGTGGTTGAAAAATAAACATATCAGTGGCCAGCAGGTAGTGTGGTAAAGGCCCTGGACTCCCACATGGCTGAACCCAGTTCAAGTCCCAGACATGGTAGCTTGAAAATCACACCCTGCATGTGTGTGTACATGTCTAAAATCCCAAGGAGGGAGAAGAAAGGATTGTGGCATAGCCATTTCCCCTGGGATATAGTTTCTCACTTTCCTTCTCTGTCTCTCTAACAAATACACAATCCCTATGGCAGAAACATTAAACAAAAATAAAATTAAATAGATGTGTTGGGTGCACATAGATGCAAAATCTCATCAGGATGGACAGGATGAAGAGATTGTGGTGTGACTATGCCCCACTTGGGGATGCTCGCTCCACCCTTGAGCACGTGTGCACACACCCTCTGGCAATTATAAATTTCTTTTAAAAAATGAATCCTGGGGGCTAGCAGATGTTGTAGTGGTTACCACACTAGACTCCAGGTTGGAGTCCTGGCGGCTTAAAAATCACGCTGGCAGATGGCATGATGGTTAAGGCTCTGGACTCCCACATGGCTGACTAAAGTTTGAGTCCTAGGCCTGGCTGCTTGCTTTCCCACTTTTCCTCTCTCTCTAGTCAAGTTGAAAAATAATAATAAATAAAATAAACCTCGTGAAAAACAGAAGGTAACCAGCAGTTGGTGTAATGGCTATGTTGCTGAACTCCCATGTAGTCAACCTCGGTTTGAGTCCCAGACCCAGTGGCTTAAACTCATGCTGGGCGTGTGTGCATATGTGCCCAAGATCCTGAGAGGATAAGGGAGCAGAAGGGATTGTGGTGTGGCCATCCGCCCAGGGGGGTGTGGGGGGGTAATTTCTCGCTTTCTGTCTCTCTGTCTCTCTCTTATCTTCCTGGTGAGTGTATGTGCCTTATAGCAAAAACTTCTCAAAAAATAAATAAATAAAGATCACCCTGGGCACATGTGCATGCATACCCAAAATCTCAGGAGTAGAATGAAGAAGGGATTGCAGCATGGCATCTCCCTAGGGTTGGGGAGGTGATTTCTCTTACTCTCAGTGTCTTTTCAGTGAGCATAGATACTCTTTGGCAAAAACTTTAAAAAAGAAAAATGAGGGTCCGGCAGATGGTGTGGTACTTAAGGGCGCTGGACTCCCACATGGCCACCTGTGGTTCAAGTCCTGGTCCCGGAAGCTTGAATTCTCACTTTCTCTCTCTCTCTCCCCTTCCCTCTCTGATCAAATTTAAATAAATAAATTAAGATAAAACAATTCTTAATAATAATAATAATGGGGTCACGACCAGCAGTTGGTGTAATGGCTATGTCGCTGGACTCCCATGGTTCGAGTCCTGGACCCAGTGGCTTGAACTCATGCCAGGTGCATGTGCGTGCATGCCCAGGATCCCAAAGAAGAGAATGGAGGAGAAGGGATTGTGGCATGGTCATCCTCCCTGGGGGTGGGGGTGATTTCTTGCTTTCTGTCTCTCTGTCTCTCTCTGTCTTTCTGGTGAGCATACACGCCCTATAGCAAAAACCTCTCCAAAATAAAAAAAAATAAAAAATAATAATAATGGGGCCAGCAGGTGGCGTGATGGTTAAGGGCACTGGACTCCCACATGGCCAACCTGGTTCAAATTCTGGACCTGACAGCTTGCCTTCTCACTTTCCCTCTCTGTCTCTCAATTTGTCCCTCTCTAGTCAAATTACAATAAATGAGTAAATAAATATATAAAGCTAAATAAAAATAATTCTTTTAAAAAATAGTAATAATGGTAATAAATAAAATAAATAATTGCAAAAAGAAAAATGAATTCCAGGGGCCAACAGGTGACTTCATGGTTAAGGAACTGGACTCCCACATGGGTAACCATCATTCCAGTCTCAAACCTCGCACCTGGAAAATCATGCTGGATGTGTGTAGATTCATGCCCAAAATCCTAGCAGGAGGAGAAAGGATCACAGTGTGGCCATTCTTCCTGGGGGTGATTTCTCACTTTACCTCTCTCTCTGGCAAGCGCATACACCCTATGGCAAAAACATGAAATAGATTCCGTGGAACCAGCCGGTGGCATGGTGGTTAAGGCAGTTGGACCCTAAATGGGTGGCTATGCAGTTTGAGTTCTGATGTGTGAGCCTGCCCAAAGGAGAGTGGAGGAGAAAGGGTGTCATAGCCATCTCCTACAAGGTTGCTTTCTCCCTTCCTCTCTCTCTGTCTCTTTAGCAAGTGCATGCACCCTATAGCAAAAAGTATGTGTGTGTGTGTGTGTGTGTATAACCTTAATTATTTTTTCACTCTCTAGCGTTAAAACAAAATTACCAGCTTCAAAAAGACATCACAGGAAACCAGCAGGTGGTATAGTGGTTGAGGTGTTAGACACTCCCATATGGCTGACCATGGTTCGAGTCCCGGACCTCGTTACTTGCTGTCTCACTTTCTCTCTCTCTGGTCAAATTAAAATAAATGAATGAGTAAATTAAAACTTAAATAATTCTTTAAGAAAAAAAAAGAAGACATCACAATAAAGCAAATCTATTTGGGAGAATTTGAGGTTTTTTTCCTCTCTCTAACATCATTCTGAAATAATTTCATGGGCATTAATTGCATGAATATGGTTGAATTAAAAAGCTGTTCAGCCAGAACTCCTAATTCCATACTAGGTGATTTCAGTTCCCATTGCTAAAATTAATTGTTGTAACATATATTCTCTTGATGGCAAGTCTGTTAATGTGTATAACGTTTTTGGTGTCATTTCTTATTTTTGCAGCAGAGGGATACCATGCAAGATAACCTGATAAAGCTCAAGCAGGAAATGGCAGAACTAGAAGCTGTGTTAGAGCAGCAGGGGAGCCAGGCTTCTAACAGCTCCCTTTCACTGGTAGCTGACTCTTGTGACTCCGACCCCGAGGATCTCCTAAATCCAGAACAAAACACATCACCAAAAGGTATGTCATACCATCTAAACACTGTTCTCTTAAGCAAAAGTCTTCTCCCATAGCCTTTATCTCCTAAGAAGTAGGACCTAGTTGTAACATTTTATTATCTTTACTCTGTGTATATTTACTGAGTTACTTTGTAAGGAATTTTGCCTTCTTTTTTTTCTTCCAGAAGGCATGTATCCTCACCAGAAAGAGAGATAGGGAGAGGGAGAAAGCACTTCTCAATGGGGCATGGCCATCCTGTAATCTCTTCCTCTCCATTTCTCTATCCTGTGAGGATTTTGTGCATGCACAAGCACTCCCTGACATGTTTTCAATCTTCTAGGGCTGGAATTTATACTGTGTAGAAGGCCACGTGAAATCTGGTTCCCTTAACCACCAAGCCACAGAGTCAGCCCCTCATGGGTAATTTTGGATCCTTGTTTCTAGTCCCTGCTTGCAACTAGTTTGACATTCAGAGGGACCCAGGACAGTTGTTAATGTGATTGTCTGACTAAGCACCTACACTGCAGAAAGCTATGGGGAGCCCATAGGAGACAGACAACATAGTTATTGCTCCTAGGAAGCTGAGCATAATGGAGGAGATTGGCAATACGTAACTCTGTAATTTCAGAAAGCTATGAAAAAATACTTGGATGTATTCCTTATAACACTGCTGTCAGATTACAAAGACCTATTGAACGTGCTGTCTGATTTCTAGGAAGAGATACCCTATACTTCAACAATTGCACTTTGATCCAATTACTTAGCACAGTCAGGTGCTTTACAACAGTGTTAGTCATCAACAAGGCCAGTTGGACCTTGGCGAGGACGCCATTGGAGTAATCAGGCAGGTGGGGTGGATCAGAGGTGACTTCCTGTGAGAAGTGATTACTGAGCTGAGGAAACAATAAGGTATAAGTGAAGGAAAATGAGGTGAAATTTTGAAAGTAAGTTTCTAATTGGAGAGACGGTGTAGCAAGCAGTCAGGTTATAAGTAAGGGCAAAATATAGACACCTAGAAGAGAGGCTAGGCAAGGGGCCCATGGAGCAGCTTGGTGCTTCAGTACAGGCAGGGGTAGGGAGCCCTAACACAGTACTCTTCAGTACTGTCTCGATGTTCCCTGTCTGAATAGCTTGGTGTTGAAGTTCTTTCTCCAGCACTCCCTTGTGCAGTCCTGTTGGGACCCAAGGCCCTCCTTTGAGTCTTTCTAGGAACTGAAGTCTGTTAATTATTCAGAACAGTGAGTGGCCTTGGTCCTCAAGTGTGCTTTATAGTGATTCTATGTTCAGAAAGAAACAGTGGCTCATGCTAGAAACTCTGTTGCTATGGCAGTACTTCGAAATGTATTTTCTTAAGTGCTTCCTTTGTAACTATATCATCATTTAGTTCATTTCCCAGATAATGAAACCCAGAGTCCAGTCCCCAGTACAGTTCTCTTCTTTAGGGTGATTTCACCATCTTCAGTATAAAAACAGATAGGACTTTCAATTCGAATGCATAAGATAGAAAATGTTATTATCTGGCTTTGAATATCTATAAATGTATGTTGATTTTTTTTCTTCCTGAAGACTTGTAGATAAAATGTTTCTTTGTGGCTTCATTTCTGAAACATTTGAGTATCAGCTTAATACCAACTCAAGTTTTAAGCCTTTTCCCTCCTTAAGTTGGTCTGAGTCTTACTAAAATGCAAGTAAATTTCTTATTCTATGGAAAAGAACATTGCTTACCTTTTGTACTCATGAATTTTTTAAACAAATTATCGTTTTAGAATAATTTTATATTTATGTAAAAGTTACAGTGATAGTGCAGACTTCTCATATACGCCTTACCCAGCTTCAATAAGATGATAAAAGCCCCTTTTCTTGCATTTTTAAAAATTGTGCCAGAGAGCTTATGTGCTTTCTAGAGAGACAAAGAAACAGAGAAAGTAAGAAAGCTCTGTCCTTGGGAATGGTCACGCAGCAGTCCCTTCTCCATTTCTCCCTCCTGTTGAGATTTTGGACACACATGCACACATGCCTAGCATGTTTTTCAAGTCACTGGGTCTAGGACTCAAACCATGATAAAAGCCCTTTTTCTGGCATTTTACATCAATATTCTGCTCTTTGACATAGATCTGTCCTAAAAATAGGTTAGTTAACATTCATTCCCAAGCCTGCATAATAGCTGGGTGCAAGTGTGTATACTTATCTATTATAAATTATGTGTACCTCTGCAGATAAAGCTATTTCATATCAGGCACTTTGTTTTATTCTCCCTCCTGGATTTCCTGTCATTCAAAAAGCAAATATTAGCATTTGTAAGATCGTAGCCCATTACAGCGGAAGTGATTTTCAGACACATTGGAGCTTTTTTGTCCCATAATTTTGTTTTGAAAGATTTTTCCTATAGGGTGCATGCACTGACCTGAGAGAAAGAGAGAGATAGAAAGTGAGAAGTCACCCCCTGGGGGAATGGTCACACCACAATTACTTCACTATTGTCTTGGGATTTGGGGCACGTATGCACTTGCATGTGAGTGAATTTAAGCCACCAGGTCTGAGATTTCAACCACGGTTGGCCAGATGGGAGTCTGGAGACATAACCATTACACTATCTGTTGCTCCCAGTACTATCTGTCCATCTATCTATCTATCTTTATTTTTTTTAAGAGAGATTTTTTACTATAGGACATATGTGCTCATTAGAGAGACAGAAATCAAGAAATTGTCACTGCCCCTCAGGGGGGATGACCATGCTGCCATGTTGCAACTCCTCCTCCACTCTCTTGGGATCTTGGGCACACATGCACATGTGCCCAGCATGAGTTTATTATTATTATTATTTAATTGTATTCAGTATTATTATTTTTGAATTTGACCAGTGAGAATGGGAAAGTGAGAAAGCGAGCCACCGGATCCAAGACACGAACCACAGTCAGCCATGTAGCAATACAGTGCCCCTAGCCACCACACCACCTGCTGGTCCTGCGGCATGAGTTTCAAGTTGCTGAGTTCAGGACTTGAACTGCAGTTGACTATGTGGGAGTCCAGTGACATAACCAATATGCCATCTGCTGGTCCCCTGCTGTAACATGTTAGTGTCTGCAAATACTTGTTAAAAATGTCCTCCCCTGGAAATTCTGAATCAGCTGGAAATAATGAGTTATAAACTTTTTAAAAATTATTCATTTATTTAATTCCATGTGTTATTTATTTATTTATTTTAATTTGACCAGAGAGAGAGAGAGAGAGAGAGAAAGCAAGCCGCGAGATCCAGGACTCAAACCATGGTCGGCCATGTGGGAATCCAGCGCCTTTAACTACCAAACCACCTGCTGGCCCGGGTTATAAACTTTTAAAAATTGAATCTATTAGAGCCAGCAGGTGGTGTGGTGGTAAAGGCACTGGAATTCCCAGATGGCCAACTGCGGTTCAAGTCCTGGACCTGGTGGCTTGCTCTCCTTCTCTCTCTCTCTCTCTAGCTCTCTCTCTCTCTCTCTCTTTCTCTCTATCTTTCTTTGGCAAATATCATGTGAAAAAAATAATAGTAATTAATAAATAAATAATATAACTTTTTTTTAAAAAACGGAATCTATTATGTGTTCTATATTTTATTCTATTTGTTTGTTTTTTAAATTTGCTATAGGGCATGTACATTCCAGAGAGAGAGAAGGAAAGAAAGAGAGAAAGTAAAAAAGCCTTCCCAGGGGAAACGGCCATATCACAATTCCTACTCTGTTGTCCTCTCAGGATTCTGGGTACACACATGCACCTAGCGTGTTTTTCAAGCCACTGGATCCTGGACTTGAACCATGCAGTGGGCCATGTGGGATCTAGCCACCTTAACCACTATACCACCTGGCTGCCCAGGGAATCTATATATATATATTTTTTTTTTTTTAAGAATTATTCTTTAAGTTTATTATTTCTCTTTTCTGTTTGTTTGTTGTTTCTCCTAATTTGACCAGAGAGAGAGGGAAAGTGAGAAAGCAAACCACCAGACCATAGTTGGCCATGTGGAAATCCAAAACATTAACCACCATACCACCAGTTTTCTCTGTACTTTTCTCTGTATTTTTACAGTTCTGTTGAGTCATTGCCTCCTAACAGGTTATTTTGATCTTGTTCCAGCCTTGAGGCTCACTAAAGTAAAGGCAGAAATTCTATACACTAAAAGTTCTGGTGACAGGACGACTTCTGTTTTAAGGTTTTTGCCATAGGGCACATATGTCTGCTAGGGAGAGACAGAGAAAGGGAAAGTAAAAAAATCACCCTCCCTTATCCTCTGTTCTCCTCTCTGGATTTTTGACTTGCACGCACATGTACCTGGCCTGATTTTTAAGCCACTGGCCTAGGGCTGAACTGTGGTTGGCCATGTGAGAGTCCAATGCCTTAACTACCACACCATCTACAGACCCGGATAGGGTGAC